ATCCTGACTTACACTATGTTGCTGTTCTGCAGCTCAGGAAAGAAAGGTGGGGTGATTACTCCAGAGGTCTCTGCACTGAGCTTTAAGAGTGAAGAATTAAGAGAAGTTAATCATGGGCCATGCAGCTAACTTCCTAAGAGGCTTAATTATAAATGTTGTGCAGTGTACTACTGCAAGAGGAGATGGGTGTTAGCTGGTGAATGTGTCTTCTGAAATTACTTGCGTGAACGTAAGATGAACCTGAAGAATTAGAGGATAAACATCTTCCTGAAAATCTAGTAGAGCATTACAAATTTGGAAATAGTGGGAGAAAGTGGTTTGCTACATACAACTGAATTGTTTTCAATTCTTAATTGACGACTAAACAACACTTGAAAATGAAACATAACACTTATGTATCAGTAGATTAAAGGAACTGGTTATAGCTGCATCTGCTTAACTTCCCAAATTAAACTTCTCTTCACATTATATTTACAGCTTAAAATCTATTTGCCTAGATTTTACCCTCTGTATATTTTTTACATTGCTTGGGCAGTCTGCTGAACATTGGTGATCATTTCCAGTGAGCCTAGTGTCTGTGGAAAAAAGGAGTTACTGACTGTCTTGATCTTACCTACAGTCAGGCCCACGGTGATCTGAACAGCAGTTCATCGCAGGACAGAAGTAAGAACATAAACAATGACAAATATAACCAGTGACACTAAAAATGACAGAAAAAAACCCCAAGGTGGGTGCAAATATAAAGGCACGGTAGAGCCTTGATTGCCAGTCAGAAAAACAGCTGAGTAGGAGTTTGCAGCTTAAGAAACCTCTGAAACTGCATACATTATGTTTAGATTATACGGAGGAGAGTTTCATAACTAAGTAACAAAGACTACTGCAATTATGCTGTGGGCAGGTCAACAGCATAACAAAAAATACGTTCTCACTAAAGGTAATGGGCAAAAATTCCCTTACACTTGATGGAATCACGTTCTTCAAAAAAAAAAAAATAAATCACAAATGGACATCTAAACAGCTCTCCATTATTGTGTTCTTGGCTGTGGAGGGATGGCTCTTCCTCCACCACTGTGCATTTCAGGTTACTGGAAAAGGAGCACCGTACAGAGCGTTATCTGATTGAGCTGGCAATGTTACCTGCATGTCCAGAGTGATTCACATGCTTTCTGCTATGCCCATACCCCTCCCATGCCAGGTGGCCTGGGCTTGCTCCAAGCAGAAGACAGGCAGTACTGCCCTTTGCTCCTCCGTGCCTCCTGGCTCCATCCTCCGTACCACGGGGGCAGGCAGGGCTCTCCACATCACTTCAGTCCTGAACACGAGACACAAGTAGGAGTCAGCTCCATGCTATTTGGGGTTTGGGTAACAATTGTGCTGCTTCTGAGCCCACATCCCGGTTTCTCCTACAGCCTTACGAAGCCCACACGAAGAGGCTGGCCAGCCTGGCGCTGCCTTTCCCCCCCCAGGCAGGTGTGCAGACCTTTCTAGAAGCCGCCTTGCCTGGGCGGCCCCGGGTCCGCCTGCAGCCCAGGCAG